CTCGTTGAGGTGTGGCAGGTGCTGTCCCTGGAGTTGTGCCCTTGTTGCTTGCCTTCCAGTCCACGTAGTTGGGGTTTTCGTAGAATGTGACATCCCTGGTCGCCAGCACGATCCCAGTCTCCACGTCTTTGATAATCCAGCCTTTGCTCTCCGGGCATGTTCCTAAGTGCACCCTCCAACGTGCTCTTGGCAGGAGTTTGTGATCAGCTCCAGCAGGGGGCCTGTACTGCGTCATACAGCCCCATACTCGAAGAAACTTCAGGTTAGGCTTCCGCTTGTAGAATGCTTCATGAGGGGTCATCTCTGCTGCAAGTCCTTTTGTTGGTAGGCGATTTTTCAGCCAGCAGGCCATGCCTAGTGCGTCTCCCCAGTAGGTCAGAGGTAGCTTACTGTCCGCCAGCATGCTCCGCACGCCATTGAGCAATGTCCTATTCACCCGTTCCGCGATGCTGTTGTGTTGGGGGGTGTGGGGAATAGTACGCTGCCGTCGTATTCCCTTGGCTTTGAGGTAGTCGTTGAAGTCCTTGTTGATGAATTCCCCACCGTTGTCGGTTCGGAGAACTTTCAGCTGTTTGCCGCTTTGTCTTTCAGCTTCCGCCAACCAATCAATGAAACTCGGTAAAACTTGCGTTTTGTCTTTGATCTCCGTCACCCATGTGAGTCTTGTGCCGATGTCCGTGAATGTAATGAAGTATCTGCTGTCATGTCGTGATGTGACCCTCATTGGACCGCATACGTCCGCTGCCACCACTTCCATTGCCCCATATGGCTCCTTCGGTCCATGTCTTGGATGGGGAGCCTTTGTAGTTTTTCCTTCAACACATGAGTCGCACTTCATATGGGTTTCCTCAGCTCCAGTCACCTTCACTCCCGCTGCCATGTTTTTCTTCATCATTTCCTTGATCCGTTGAGTGTTCGCATGCCCCATTCTTTTGTGCAGGAGATTGATATCAACCGCTTCCGCCGCTGCTGCCACGGGAAGCTTTAGCTGCTGCAGCTCGGTCACTGCAGTATTTTCCAGCATGGTAAGTAGCTCTTCTCGGGCCTTCTTTCCTTCTTCAGGTTCAGGTTGATAGGTGACCTTATCTTCACGCGAATCTTGCTCCTTCAGCTTCATCTGATAGAGTCCTTGAGTCCGTGCGCCTTCCGCTAGCAGTTGCCAGTCGGGACCGAACACCCACAGCTTTCCGTTGTCACTGAACGTCTTGCAGCCACTGCTGTCCAGTTGCGTTTGACTTATCAGGTTGAGGGACAGCTTCTCCACTAGGAGAACGTTGTCCATTTTCAGCTCCCCATAGGGGCTCTGTAAAATCAGGTCCCCTTCTCCTTGCACTTGAAGTTTTCCTTCATCCCCGAGTAGGACGTAAGGGACTCCAGATTCCCGGTAGTCGCGTAGCCAATCAACTCGGTGCGTCATGTGCTGTGTGCACCCGCTGTCCATAAACCAAGCCTTCTCCTTGAATCCTTTTGACAGCAGGCACACCTCGGATGCTCGAGCAACGTTTGCTTTGTGGGCGCCTCCAAGAATAGCGTCAACCTTTGTCGTGTCCTCCACAGCTGCAGGTACCTCCATTACATTTGTCTTCGCTGCTGCTGGCTTTTGTTGCAGCTCCTTTCCTCTGTAGTTTCTGCTGGCTTTGTTGTTGTAGCAGTCGGAAGCCTTGTGCCCATATTTGCCGCAATGGTTGCAGTTTCCATTGAATCCTCCGCTTGCCTTGTAACCTTCTCCGTGTCCCCTCTCGATGTTTTGCTGCCAGCGCCCTTTCCCTTTGTAGTTTCTTACATTTGGGTTGGAATAATAGTCCGCAGGGTTGGAATAACAGTCCGCAACTTTGTGCCCCTTCTTCCCGCAGTGGTAGCAGCTGCCAACAATCCTTGGAGTTGCAGTTGCATTCAAATTTGCAGGCCTGTTCTCTTCTGCTACTGTTGCCATTGCTTCCCTCCGTTTCAGGTCAGATTTGACCAGCTCCAGCGCTTGGAGGGTCTCGAGCAGCTGGGTCAAATCCTTGGGCGTGTTGCAGGTAAGGATTCCGATCTCTGCTGTCCACTCCTTGGGTAGGCCACTGATGATGTATCCCATCATGTGCTTCTCTGATTCGGGCGCCCCCATTGCTGTGAGATCGTCGTTGTAGCTCTTGGCTCGATTCACGTAGTCAATGATCTTCTCCATTGGCTCCATTGCGAGCAGCAGCAGTTTCTTTCTCACTGCAGTCAGATTCGTGTCGGTCCGTCCGAGATATACCGCTTCCATGTATGCCCATGCACGTTGTGCTGAATTGATGTCGTCCGCAAACTGGTCCAGCCCCACAGCGATGGAGTCCGAAACTGAGTGACACAGTTGGAAGAAAGCTTGCAAATTCTTCTTCTTGTATGTCCTCTTTTCTTGTGCCGTTGCCGTTGCAGGTGGAGGTACTCCTTCCTCCGTCTCCTCGTCCGCTTTGTAGAGGGGCCAGAGATCAACTTCTCTTGCCCTCCGCATGAACTTAAGTCGCCATGTGCTGTAGTTGTTGCCATTGAACCGTTGCGCCTCGCTCAGGCCAATCGTTGGCCTGGCCACCACGTGCCCTTGTGTAAGGGCCTCCAAGAGGGCTTGGACTTGGGGATCTTCAGCACTGACTGAAGAACCCGAGCTTGCCTCACCATCCCCATTCGGCATGATGCAAGAACTTGTCTTGGCCCTTCTTGAATGTTTGAAACACACTTGAACCAGCTCTGATACCAGCTCTTAGACTTAGTCGTAGTGAGGACGTGACTTAGAAGTCACGAAAACAGCAGTAGCGGGCTCCAAACTGGATCTGAAAGTTGAAGAAACAGGTTGCTTTCCAACCCAGGTTGTGAACAGAAAGTTTCACTATGATACAATGAGGAAAAACAGAACATGATATTTAAGCAATCCGAAATCCGAATTTCAAAGGGCGCCTCGTGTAACGCGCCTCGTCGCAAATCCGAATTTCGTAACAGTAACCGACGTTGAAAACCGAAATTCAAACTGAACCGTCTTTGAAACCGACTTTCTTCAACTCCACCGAACACCACCTCCGGAATGGTTGGAAAAATTCTGGCGGTTGAGAACGTTCTTCCCTCTCTCTCTCTCATGAAACCCCAGCTGCTCCTCACGATCTTCTCAGCTAGCTCCTCCCACCATCAGAACTCGTTTTCCAGCCTATTCTCTCCCACCGCCATAGGTAAGGCAATTTCCAAGTGTCCTGTTCTGTCGTTTTCATGCTCTAGAGTCGGTGCAGCGGCGAACCACTTCTAACAACAGCATATGCCACGTGGCGCATGGACAGGTGGCGGACGGCATGGGGGAGTGGAGGAATGGAGAGTGGGGGGGTCAGGTGCAGGGGGGGTTACGATGGGAGGCAATCACACACAGTTGCAGAATCAGTCGCACAATCAGTCGCACATTCAGTCGCATCAGCTGCCGTTGTCGCATTATTCGTCTCAGCAGCTGTCACAATACCAGACTCAACACCAGTCGCAGTATCATTCTCACTACCCACTTCAGCTTCAGCAGAACCAGCTGCAGCATCAGCAGGAACAGCATCAGCATCAGCAGCCGCAGCAGTTGCATCAGCCGGACCAGTCATTGTACACCTTGCAACACCGGCATAAGCTACAGCAGCACCCATCGGACCTTCCGTTACAGCAGCAGAACCGCCAGCAGCAGCAGCAGTTGCAGTTGCAGCAGCAGCAGAACCAGCAGCAGCAGCAGCCACACCAAAACCAGCAGCAGCAGCAGCAGCAGCAGCAGCAGCAGCAGCTGCTGCAAGAAGCCCAATACGCGTTACAGCAGCGGGAGTCAAAGAAGGAGCTCAAGAGGAAGTTGGACCAACTGACTTCTGTGGTGGAAGATGTGAGTTTATGGCGCTTTAAGGATTGTTGTGTGCGCAAAGCCGGCCTGCTTTTGAGTCGACTTAAAGCTGACTTCTGAGTCGACTCAAAATACCTAGTCACGTCTGTGATGGAAGATGTGATGTGATGTGAGCAACACCTTTTTTTGAGACGTCACAAAATCCTTTCCCCTCCGTCTTGATACTTCCCAGCCTATGTTTCTGACACGACCTTTTGTCACATCCTTATTTCTTTACAATCCTTAGCTTTCCGCACCTCCTTTCTTTTCACACATCCTTGTTTTCGCCACATCCTTATCATTTTTTATAGATGCGTTAAGATTGGTAACCTATATTCTATCCCTTGAAATTCCACGTATCCTCCCCTTCAACTCTTCCCATGCCATCTGGAGCGGCAGGCGGCAGCACTGGCTCAGCTGAGGGACGTGCAGAGGAGGAGCAGGGAGAGGGGGAGGGTCTATGCACGGGCTGAAACTCCCAACCCTCATTCCATTCCCCTTCTCCCTTCCCTCTGTCCCGGTAACTCTTCCCTGCCGGTTGGAGCGGCAGGCAGCAGCATTGGCCTAGCTGAGTGACGTGCGGAGACGGAGCAGGGAGAGGGGAGGGGGGTATGCACGTCTTTGAGCTCGTATCCTGTAATCCAATCAGCAATAGCCTCATCAGCGCTCTCTCCCTTCCCCAACTCAGTCCACAGTCCCCCTTCCTCCCCCTCCCTTCCTGATTCTGTACCAGCTGGAGCGGCAGGCAGTAGCATTGGCTCAGCTGAGGGACGTGCGGAGACGGAGCAGGGAGAGGGGGAGGGGGAGGGGGGTATGCGCGGACGGAGCAGGGGAGCCGGGAGGGGCTATAGACTTCTTGATACTTCCTTATCCTTGCTAACCCCCTCAACCCTTCTCGCTTCCTCCCCCCCCCGCTTCCCTGTACCAGTTGGAGCGGCAGGCAGCAGCATTGGCTCAGCTGAGGGACATGCGGAGGAGGAGCAGGGGAGCGGGAGGGAAGGAGCAGCAGCAGGTGCATCATCAGGAGAAAAAAAAGCAGCAGCAGCTGCAGCAATCCCACCAGAACCAGCACCACCAGCAGAAACAGGGTCACCACCAGCAGCAGCAGCAGCAGCAGCAGCAGCATGAGCAGGCTCACGAGCAGCATATGAATGCTGTGATAGCAGCAGCAGCAGCGGGGGGAGGAGGGGGGATAGCCGGGGGAGTGGGGCTGGGGGGCCTGGGCATGGGGGGGGTGAAGCGGGCAGTGAGGGAGGAGAGGGGGAGGGTGGCGCGGGTGAGGGCAAAGAGAATGGCTGATATGCTGCAGCGGGCAGGCAGCATCGTGAAGCAGGTTAGTGGTTGTGTGCGGTACGGTATGGTATCTCTCAGCGGAAATGGGTCGTCAAGCCTGACGACCTGCTGCCCCGGGCAGAAAAAAACTAAAACCCTATCGGATGGCATGCCATCCGAGAGAGGCATCAACCCTAAATCCATGCCTCCCCGTGTTTAGGGTTGATGCCTCCCTGACCGGATGCATGCCCGACTGGGGTTTATTTTTTTTGCCCGCGGGCAGCGAGCTCCCCCGGGCGACGACCTGAACGCGCTGAGATATATTCGGCGGTGCTGGGCGGTACTGTGTGGTACTGTACAGTGCTGTGCGGTGCTGATGGGTGGTGAGGGGAGAGGGGGCTGGGCATGGCGGGGGTGAAGCGGGCAGTGAGGGAGGAGAGGGGGAGGGTGGCACGGGTGAGAGCAAAGAGGATGGCTGATATGCTGCAGCGAGCAGGCAGCATTATGAAGCAGGTGAGCGGTGCTGTGCGGTACTGTGCTGTGCAATTCCCATGCCCCGTTGCCCCACTTATGCCATCTCACCCCCCGTTCCTACCTGGCAGCTACTGAAGCACAGGTTTGGGTGGGTGTTTACCGAGCCTCTCTGCTTCCTTACCTTCTCTTGCCCGTACCTGGCAGCTTCTGAAGCACAGGTTCGGGTGGGTGTTTGCCGAGCCTGTGGATGCGGAAAGTTTAGGTCTGCCTGACTACCATGATATCATCAGCCACCCCATGGATCTGGGCACCATTCGCTCCCGCCTCGTCCAATCGCTCGCTGCTACGCGTGCAGACGGGGCAGTCGAGGGAAAAGTGGGAGAAGAGGGAAAAGAAGCAGCAGCAGGAGAAGCAGAACCTACGGGTGGTGCAGCAACCGCTGCATCCGATGCTGCTTCTGCTGCTGCTGCTGCTGCTGCTGCGGGTGCTGTTGCTGCGGCTGCTATCAGTGCTGCATTGCAGCCCCCTCATTACAGTCACGTCACTGAGGTGGCACGGGATGTGCGTCTGGTGTTTGCGAATGCGATGAAGTACAATGGACCAGGGTCGGAGGTGAGAGGGGTTGAGAGGAGTGAGAGGGCATTGGGAGGAGTGGGAGGTGGTGCATAGGAGTGATTCGTGATTGCAGCGTACATGCAGCTGGTGTTTGCAAATGCGATGAATGTTAATTGACCAAGTTCAGAGGTGAGAGGTGGTTGGGGGGAGTGAGATGAGATTGAGTGGGGTCAGTGAGGTGAGTGCATGCTTGCATACTGTAGCTTGTATGCATGGCTGGTGTTTGCAAGTGCGATGATGTATAATGGGCTGGAGTGAGAGGTGGTTGAGGGGAATAAGAGGGTGCTGAGAGGAGTGAAAGGGGGTTGTTGTGAGGAGTGAGAAAGGTTTGTGGTGAATAGGTGTCCTGTCCACCGATTCTCCCATCCATGCCATTTGGCCGATCCATGCCATTTTGCCCATCCATGCCATTTTGCCCATTCACCCACCCATCCCATTCACCCACCCATCCCATCCACCCACCCATCCCATCCACCCTCCCACCCTCCGATTCATCCTCTCCCATCCCACCTCCTCAGGTGAACCCCATGGCCCAGGCTCTGTGATGGCCCAGGCTCTGTGATGGCCCAGGCTCTGTGATGGCCCCGGGGATTCATTCTACAGTCGATGCAAAAACCACCTCCATCCCCCCATCCACCCACCCATCCCAACCACCCTCCCACCCTCCCATTCGTCCTCCCATCCCACCCCCCCAGGTATACCTCATGGCCCAGGCTCTCTCGGACCGATTCGAGGAGAAGTGGCAAGCTGTGATGGTGCCGAGAATACAAGAGGAGGTGAGATGAGTTGGGGGCATGCCGGTTTCGATACTTCTTAAAACTGGTCGTTTTTTTTTAATATCTTGGGAATTTACTGGACGTGTTAGCAGTAACATCCTTATATTCAATAATAGCCGCAACCCACCTATCTGAGGTGACTTTTGAGTCGACTCAAAACGAGGTGACTTTTGAATCGACTCTAAAGTCACTTCAATAATAGCCGTACCGCAACCCACCTGTCTGAGGAAAAACGGCGGCGCACAGAGAAGGAGCAGCTACAGGCGTTTGAGAGGCGGGTGAGTGAAGGCAGAGGCAGAGAGTAGGCTGCTACTGAGTATGCTTACATGCAGCTGTTGGGTCTACCCTGATTCCATCCATTGCAGGAGAAGAGAAGGCGCACGGAGGAGGAGCAGCTACAGGCGTTTGAGAGCCGTGTGAAGGCAGAGGCGGAGGAGGCAGCAATGGACGGTCGTGCGAGACAGATAGCCGCTGAGGTGAGAAGAGGTGGGAGGAAGAGAGGGAGCAGGTAAGCCACAAGAGTAGGGGCTAAGTGGGGGGGATGGAGTGAAGGCAGAGGCGGAGGAGGCAGCAACGGACAGTCGTGCAAAGCAGATAGCAGCGGAGGTGGGTGGAGGGAAGCGGGAAGAGGCTGGTAGCGGGTGAAGTGAGGCCAGTAGCTAGCTGCCCTGCAATAGTGAAGGCAGAGGCCGAGGAAACAGCAATGGACGGTTGTGCAAGGCAGATAGCCGCTGAGGTGAGCTGAGATAAAGGGATAAGAGGGGCGGATTGGGGTTGATTTGAGAGCTGTGTGAAGGCAGAGGCAGAGGAAGCAGCAATGGATTGGCGTGCAAGGCAGATAGCCGCTGAGGTGAGGGAGAGGGGGAAGGGAGGTGGGGTGGGGAGAGGTGAGGTGAATGGAGAGAGGGGAGCTCCGGTCACTGAGGTGAGAGTTGGGTGAAGGCAGAGGCAGAGGAGGCAGCAATGGATGGGCGTGCAAGACAGATAGCCGCTGAGGTGAGTTGAGGTGAAGGTTGGGAGGGAAAGTAGCATCCTAGGTGAGTCTTTTGTGAATTCTCAAAAGTCACACCAGCAGGCTAGGTGAGTGTGGTAGCTAGCTGCGCTGCAAGAGTGAAAGGGGGGTGTGGAGGGGGCAGCAATGGACGGATGGCTGTGCCATGGACGGATGGCTGTGCCATGGACGGATGGCTGTGCGACTCAGATAGCAGCGGAGTTGAGCTGAGGTGAAGGGAGAAGAGGGGAGAGGTGGGCGCTCCGATCATTGGGGCTGGTTTGAGAGTCGGGTGAAGGCAGAGGCAGAGAAAGCAGCGATGGACGGCCGTGCAAGTCATATAGTAGCCAAGGTGAGTGGAGCTGAAGGAAGAGGGCGAAGAGGTGAGTGGGAGCTCCAGTCACTGCGGTTGATGTGAGGGTGGAGTGAAGGGGGAGGCAGAAGAGTGAGCGATGGACGGCCGTGCAAGTCATATAGTAGCCGAGGTGAGTGGAGCTGAAGGAAGAGGGCGAAGAGGTGAGTGGGAGCTCCAGTCACTGCGGTTGATGTGAGGGTGGAGTGAAGGGGGAGGCAGAAGAGTGAGCGATGGACGGCCGTGCAAGTCATATAGTAGCCGAGGTGAGTGGAGCTGAAGGAAGAGGGCGAAGAGGTGAGTGGGAGCTCCAGTCACTGCGGTTGATGTGAGGGTGGAGTGAAGGAGGAGGCAGAAGAGTGAGCGATGGACGGCCGTGCAAGGCGGATAGCAGCAGAGGTGAGGAGAGGTGGGAGGAAGAGAGGGAGCAGGCAAGTCACAAGAGTAGGGGCTAAGCGGGGTGGCTGGAGTGAAGTGGGAGGCAGATAGCAGCAGAGGTGAAAGGGAAGGGGAGAGGAGGAGGGGGGGAGAGAGGGAGAGAGAGGGAGGAACAAGCAGGCGAGGTGAAGCTAGTGGCAAGCATCCCTCCTCCCTCCCTCTCACACCAGCCGTCCATCCACCCCCCCTCCCTCTCACACCAGCCGTCCATCCACCCCCCCTCCCTCTCACACCAGCCGTCCATCCACCCCCCCTCCCTCTCACACCAGCCGTCCATCCACCCCCCTCCCTCTCACATCAGCCCAACCCTCGTATCCCATCCCCTCTGTCCCCCCTCTCTGCTGTTTCAGACATCCCATGTGGATCAGCAGCTGCTTGAGCTGCGAGACTCCATCGCCCCGCTCTGCCGGTAAGCATGCTGATGTGCCTCCTTGACTGCTGTTCTGCTGGTGAGAGTGGGACAATCATGGGCTTTCAGACATCCCATCCCATGTGGATCAGATCAGCAGCTGCTTGAGCTGCGAGACTCCATCGCCCCACTCTGCCGGTAAGCCAAGTTGCCCCACCGTTTTCTGGCGAGATGGGGGAGGTGAGTGAGCCGCTCTCCCTAGGTGCAAGGCTGCTTGAGCTGCGAGACTCCATCGGCCCGCTCTGCTGGTAAGCCAGCCAAGCCAGGTTGCCTTACTGTCTGCAATGCATGTGAGATGAGGGAGGGGAGTGCTTTTTGAGAATTCTCGAAAAACACTCCCAGCCAAGTCAGGTTGCCTTACTGTCTTCACTGCATGTGAGATGAGGGGGGGGGGTGCGCTCTCTCTAGGTGCCGCTCTCTCTAGGTGCCGCTCTCTCTAGGTGCCGCTCTCTCTAGGTGCCGCTCTCTCTAGGTGCCGCTCTCTCTAGGTGCCGCTCTCTCTAGGTGCCGCTCTCTCTAGGTGCCGCTCTCTCTAGGTGCCGCTCTCTCTAGGTGCCGCTCTCTCTAGGTGCCGCTCTCTCTAGGTGCCGCTCTCTCTAGGTGCCGCTCTCTCTAGGTGCCGCTCTCTCTAGGTGCCGCTCTCTCTAGGTGCCGCTCTCTCTAGGTGCCGCTCTCTCTAGGTGCCGCTCTCTCTAGGTGCCGCTCTCTCTAGGTGCCGCTCTCTCTAGGTGCCGCTCTCTCTAGGTGCCGCTCTCTCTAGGTGCCTCTCTCTCTAGGTGCCGCACTCTCTAGGTGCCGCTCTCTCTAGGTGCCGCTCTCTCTAGGTGCCGCTCTCTCTAGGTGCCGCTCTCTCTAGGTGCCGCTCTCTCTAGGTGCCGCTCTCTCTAGGTGCCGCTCTCTCTAGGTGCCGCTCTCTCTAGGTGCCGCTCTCTCTAGGTGCCGCTCTCTCTAGGTGCCGCTCTCTCTAGGTGCCGCTCTCTCTAGGTGCCGCTCTCTCTAGGTGCCGCTCTCTCTAGGTGCCGCTCTCTCTAGGTGCCGCTCTCTCTAGGTGCCTCTCTCTCTAGGTGCCGCACTCTCTAGGTGCCGCTCTCTCTAGGTGCCGCTCTCTCTAGGTGCCGCTCTCTCTAGGTGCCGCTCTCTCTAGGTGCCGCTCTCTCTAGGTGCCGCTCTCTCTAGGTGCCGCTCTCTCTAGGTGCCGCTCTCTCTAGGTGCCGCTCTCTCTAGGTGCCGCTCTCTCTAGGTGCCGCTCTCTCTAGGTGCCGCTCTCTCTAGGTGCCGCTCTCTCTAGGTGCCGCTCTCTCTAGGTGCCGCTCTCTCTAGGTGCCGCTCTCTCTAGGTGCCGCTCTCTCTAGGTGCCGCTCTCTCTAGGTGCCGCTCTCTCTAGGTGCCGCTCTCTCTAGGTGCCGCTCTCTCTAGGTGCCGCTCTCTCTAGGTGCCGCTCTCTCTAGGTGCCGCTCTCTCTAGGTGCCGCTCTCTCTAGGTGCCGCTCTCTCTAGGTGCCGCTCTCTCTAGGTGCCGCTCTCTCTAGGTGCCGCTCTCTCTAGGTGCCGCTCTCTCTAGGTGCCGCTCTCTCTAGGTGCCGCTCTCTCTAGGTGCCGCTCTCTCTAGGTGCCGCTCTCTCTAGGTGCCGCTCTCTCTAGGTGCCGCTCTCTCTAGGTGCCGCTCTCTCTAGGTGCCGCTCTCTCTAGGTGCCGCTCTCTCTAGGTGCCGCTCTCTCTAGGTGCCGCTCTCTCTAGGTGCCGCTCTCTCTAGGTGCCGCTCTCTCTAGGTGCCGCTCTCTCTAGGTGCCGCTCTCTCTAGGTGCCGCTCTCTCTAGGTGCCGCTCTCTCTAGGTGCCGCTCTCTCTAGGTGCCGCTCTCTCTAGGTGCCGCTCTCTCTAGGTGCCGCTCTCTCTAGGTGCCGCTCTCTCTAGGTGCCGCTCTCTCTAGGTGCCGCTCTCTCTAGGTGCCGCTCTCTCTAGGTGCCGCTCTCTCTAGGTGCCGCTCTCTCTAGGTGCCGCTCTCTCTAGGTGCCGCTCTCTCTAGGTGCCGCTCTCTCTAGGTGCCGCTCTCTCTAGGTGCCGCTCTCTCTAGGTGCCGCTCTCTCTAGGTGCCGCTCTCTCTAGGTGCCGCTCTCTCTAGGTGCCGCTCTCTCTAGGTGCCGCTCTCTCTAGGTGCCGCTCTCTCTAGGTGCCGCTCTCTCTAGGTGCCGCTCTCTCTAGGTGCCGCTCTCTTCTCTCTAGGTGCCGCTCTCTCTAGGTGCCGCTCTCTCTAGGTGCCGCTCTCTCTAGGTGCCGCTCTCTCTAGGTGCCGCTCTCTCTAGGTGCCGCTCTCTCTAGGTGCCGCTCTCTCTAGGTGCCGCTCTCTCTAGGTGCCGCTCTCTCTAGGTGCCGCTCTCTCTAGGTGCCGCTCTCTCTAGGTGCCGCTCTCTCTAGGTGCCGCTCTCTCTAGGTGCCGCTCTCTCTAGGTGCCGCTCTCTCTAGGTGCCGCTCTCTCTAGGTGCCGCTCTCTCTAGGTGCCGCTCTCTCTAGGTGCCGCTCTCTCTAGGTGCCGCTCTCTCTAGGTGCCGCTCTCTCTAGGTGCCGCTCTCTCTAGGTGCCGCTCTCTCTAGGTGCCGCTCTCTCTAGGTGCCGCTCTCTCTAGGTGCCGCTCTCTCTAGGTGCCGCTCTCTCTAGGTGCCGCTCTCTCTAGGTGCCGCTCTCTCTAGGTGCCGCTCTCTCTAGGTGCCGCTCTCTCTAGGTGCCGCTCTCTCTAGGTGCCGCTCTCTCTAGGTGCCGCTCTCTCTAGGTGCCGCTCTCTCTAGGTGCCGCTCTCTCTAGGTGCCGCTCTCTCTAGGTGCCGCTCTCTCTAGGTGCCGCTCTCTCTAGGTGCCGCTCTCTCTAGGTGCCGCTCTCTCTAGGTGCCGCTCTCTCTAGGTGCCGCTCTCTCTAGGTGCCGCTCTCTCTAGGTGCCGCTCTCTCTAGGTGCCGCTCTCTCTAGGTGCCGCTCTCTCTAGGTGCCGCTCTCTCTAGGTGCCGCTCTCTCTAGGTGCCGCTCTCTCTAGGTGCCGCTCTCTCTAGGTGCCGCTCTCTCTAGGTGCCGCTCTCTCTAGGTGCCGCTCTCTCTAGGTGCCGCTCTCTCTAGGTGCCGCTCTCTCTAGGTGCCGCTCTCTCTAGGTGCCGCTCTCTCTAGGTGCCGCTCTCTCTAGGTGCCGCTCTCTCTAGGTGCCGCTCTCTCTAGGTGCCGCTCTCTCTAGGTGCCGCTCTCTCTAGGTGCCGCTCTCTCTAGGTGCCGCTCTCTCTAGGTGCCGCTCTCTCTAGGTGCCGCTCTCTCTAGGTGCCGCTCTCTCTAGGTGCCGCTCTCTCTAGGTGCCGCTCTCTCTAGGTGCCGCTCTCTCTAGGTGCCGCTCTCTCTAGGTGCCGCTCTCTCTAGGTGCCTCTCTCTCTAGGTGCCGCTCTCTCTAGGTGCCGCTCTCTCTAGGTGCCGCTCTCTCTAGGTGCCGCTCTCTCTAGGTGCCGCTCTCTCTAGGTGCCGCTCTCTCTAGGTGCCGCTCTCTCTAGGTGCCGCTCTCTCTAGGTGCCGCTCTCTCTAGGTGCCGCTCTCTCTAGGTGCCGCTCTCTCTAGGTGCCGCTCTCTCTAGGTGCCGCTCTCTCTAGGTGCCGCTCTCTCTAGGTGCAAGGCGGTTCACTGCCCCTCTCTGGTTTGTCACACATCTCACGTGGATGAGCAGTTGGTGCAGCTCATTCACTCCATCGCCCCGCTCTGCCGGTAAGCCAAGCCAAGCGATGTGCCTTCTTGACAGCTTTCCTGCCAGCGAGAGTGTGAGACTTAAGGTGACTTTTCTAACTAGATTGCCGCCTCTCCCCGCTCTCAACACATCCCATCACACGTGGATGAGCAGTTGCTTCAGCTCATACACTCCATCGCCCGGCTCTGCCGGTGAGGCCCCACTCTGCCGGTGAGAGTGGGGTAATGAGACTATTCCCACTAGAATGATGCCCCTTGCTGCTGCTTCCCACATCCCATCACACGTGGATGAGCAGTTGCTTCAGCTCATAGACTCCATCGCCCCGCTCTGCCGGTGAGGCCCCACTCTGCCGGTGAGAGTGGGGTAATGAGACTATTCCCACTGGAATGATGCCCCTCGCTGCTGCTTCCCACATCCCATCACACGTGGATGAGCAGTTGCTTCAGCTCATAGACTCCATCGCCCCGCTCTGCTGGTGAGGCCCAACTCTGCCGGTGAGAGTGGGGTACTGAGACTATTCCCACTGGAATGATGCCCCTCGCTGCTGCTTCCCACATCCCATCACACGTGGATGAGCAGTTGCTTCAGCTCATAGACTCCATCGCCCCGCTTTGCTGGTGAGGCCCCACTCTGCCGGTGAGAGTGGGGTAATGAGACTATTCCCACTAGAATGATGCCCCTTGCTGCTGCTTCCCACATCCCATCACACGTGGATGAGCAGTTGCTTCAGCTCATAGACTCCATCGCCCCGCTCTGCCGGTGAGGCCCAACTCTGCCAGTGAGAGTGGGGTAATGAGACTATTCCCACTGGAATGATGCCCCTCGCTGCTGCTTCCCACATCCCATCACACGTGGATGAGCAGTTGCTTCAGCTCATACACTCCATCGCCCCGCTCTGCCGGTGAGGCCCACTCTGCCGGTGAGAGTGGGGTAATGAGACTACTCCCACTAGAATGATGCCCCTTGCTGCTGCTTCCCACATCCCATCACACGTGGATGAGCAGTTGCTGCAGCTCATAGACTCCATCGCCCCGCTCTGCTGGTAAGCCATGGGAAGGCTGAAGTGCAACGCAATGGCGAGGGTGCTAGAGATTGTTGAGGAGCCCTCTTGATTCCTCCCTTCCTCCCCTCCTCCAGTCCCATGACTCCCGAGGAAGTAAGGCGCTTGGGCAGGGGCATGCGGCGGTTAAAGCCCAACGCAATGGCGAGGCTGCTGGAGATCATTGAGGAGTCCTCTCGCTTCCTCCCTTCCTCACTCCCTTTCACTCCCTTTCACTCCCTCTCTTTCCTGTGTCCCACTCCCTGTTACCGTCCAGTCCCATGACACCAGAGGAGGTAAGGCGGCTGGGCAGGGGCATGCGGCGGTTGAAGCCCAACGCCATGGCGAGGCTGCTAGAGATTATTGAGGAGCAGGAGGAACGGGAGGAGAGGGAGAGGGAGGAGCGGGAGAGGGAGAGGGAGGAGCGGGAGAGGGATGAGAGGGAGAAGGATGAGAGGGAGAGGGAAGAAAGGGCGGGAGCGAGGGAAGAGGAGACGAGGGGAAGAGAGGGTGCAGAGAAGGATGGGGAGGAGAAAGGGGGAGAGGGAAGGGGCACACAGGATAAGGGGGGAGAGGAGACAGGGGGAGAGGATAAAAAGGGAGAGGAGAAAGGGGGAGAGAGGGAGATTATACCTGAGCAACCACAAGGCGTTTCTAAGTTAGGGGAGAAAGGTGATGTAGAGTGTAAGGGTGAGCTAGAGGAGGGGATGTGTGCGGATGTGGCAGATGGCAAAGTTACTGATCATGACCGCGCTGCTGTTCATGGAAGAGGTAGCAACCATGGCTGTGGCACTGTTCATGGGGGGATGGTGGATGAGGGCTTGATTGGTAGCACGATGGGTGGTGCTTCGGAAGCTGGCAATCTTAGGAAGGCTGAACAGGAGGAAGCAGACTTGGGAGTCATAGGAGGAGCGGGAGCAGGAGCACGAGGAACAGCAGGAGCAGCATCTGCAGCAGCAGCAGCAGAAGCAGAAGCAGAAGCAGCAGCGAAAGCAGGAGCAGGAGGAGCAATAGGCGCAGGAGACAGAGCAGCAGCAAGGGGTGGGCAAGGGGAGGAGTGTGGGAGGGGTGGTCAATCGGGCATAGGTGAACGAGCAACAAGAGCAGCCGGTGGAGCAGCTGTGAGAGCAGCGCGGGGGGCGCGGCGAATAAGGGACTCAGAGTTAACCATAGACCTTGATGATCTGGTGAGTCTCTTTTTAGGCGCCTCAAAAGCTGTTTCCTGTTTAGCTCCCATCATACGCGTATCACGAGCGGACGTCAAAAGGAACGATCGTTGCCTCGCTATTCCCCTTTTAATTTTCCCTTTGCTCTATACCTTCACTGCTGCTACTGCATATGGTGTTATCCTCCTCCCTTTGCTGCTGCTCCTACTCAGAGCCCGGCAACACAGTGGCGTTTACTGCACTACGTTTCACTCTCAAGACCGTGAACACAGCGTGCACTCAAGACCATCAACAGGCCTCCTGATATTAACGGTGTTATCCTCTTCCCTTTGCTGTTGCTCCTCGTACTCAGAGCAGGCCCTAGATTCGTTTTGGGACACTCTGATGGGTCAGCGTGCACCCTTATCTGAACTCTGCCAGTCAGAGTTGCCCCCTATGTTGAGGCTGGAAATTCAGACAACACTTGGTTTTTTAGGCTGAATGTTCAGAGTTACACTCAATTTAAAGGCAGGTGATTTTTTATACCACAGTGAAGAAACATTTCAACTATCTGACTCAGATTCTGACATATGACTAACTACAGCTCAACAACTGGCTCCTCTATGTTGGGCTGAGAAAAGTCCTTAGGATCCTTTCCAAGGCTAAACTCTGAGTAGAAATGTTATAGTTGCGGAAGCGTTTTAATGACACGTGTTTGAACCACCTTGCGCAAGTGTGTGAGGGCAAGATAGATTAATTATAGAAAAGTGTCAAATGTTGTAGCCGGTAGTGAGGTTTGTCTTAGGGGGTACAGATGTTAGGGTTTGTTATATGTTACCCAACCCTCATCAATGAACCAACAATTTCGTTCTTGACATGGTATCACCTAGGTTAGGATCCTGTGGGATCCCGCACCTCTCGTCCTCGTTCGTTCCCCCCGAGCCTGTCTCGCTCTCTCGTACTAGTCGTACCCGTCTCGCTCGTTCGTTAGCGCCGGCCCGATCCAGTCTCGCTCGTTCGTTAGCGCCGGCCCGATCCAGTCTCGCTCGTTCGTTAGCGCTCGCTCCGCCGACCCGCTTTCCGCGTAGCGTAGCGCCTTCCCCCCCCTGCTCGTCGTGTCGCGCTCTCCCCGGCTTCTCGTCCCATCTGTCAGAACATTGTAGCTTATGCTGTTGTGTAGGCTATAGTGGGGTATCCCATAGGGGGTACAACCAATTAGGGTTTCATATTTGTACTCACTTCATTTCATAGTTCATCCACTCTCGTTCTCATTCTCACATGGAATCAGAGCAGGTCCCCTCCTAGGGACTGTTCCTTGGGCCCACCGAAGCGCGCCTCGAGTCGCGCCTGCCTTTTTTTTTTTTAGCGGCCCGTCGAGTCGCACCTAGCGGCCCGTCGCGCCGCCCTTACGGTCGCGTCGAGCCGCCCTAGCGACTGCGGCGCGCCGCCCTTTTCCCGGCCCGTCGCCGCCCTTACCCGCGGCTTTGCGCCGCCCTCACCGGCGGCTTCGCGCCGCCCCTACCTGCGGCTTCGCGCCGCCCAGGCCCAACGCCGCCCTTCCCGCGGCTTCGCGCCGCCTCTACCTGCGGCTTCGAGCCGCCCCGGCCCGTCGCCGCCCTTACCTGCGGCTTCGCGCCGCCTACGGCCCGTCGCTGCCCTTTTCTGCGGCCCCGCCGCCTCTCTCGTTGCGGCCCCGCCGCCCGTCTTCGCGGCCCCGCCGCCATCTCTCGCTGCGGCCCCGCCGCCACTCACTGCGGCCCCGCCACCCGTCTCAGCGGCCCCGCCGCCCGTCTTCGCGGCCCCGCCGCCTCTCTCGCTGCGGCCCCGCCGCCTCTCACTGCGGCCCCGCCGCCCTACTCAGCGGCCCCGCCGCCCGACTTCGCGGCCCCGCCGCTTCTCTCGCTGCGGCCCTGCCGCCTCTCTCGTTGCGGCCCCGCCGCCCTTCACTACGGCCCCGCCGCTTCTCTGCAGCGGCCCCGCCGCCCGTCTTCACGGCCCCGCCGCCTCACTACCCAGCGGCCCCGCCGTCCTTCTGCAGCGGCCCCGCCACTCCTCTACAGCGGCCCCGCCGCCCTACGTCAGCGGCCCAGCCGAGCCGCCCAACAGCAGCGCAGCCGAGCCGCCCAGCAGCAGAGCAGCCGAGCCGCCCCGCCGCCGAGCCGCGCTGCAGCCGAGCCGCCCGGCCGCCCACCAGTCGAGCCGCCGTGCAGCCGACCGCCCAGCTGCCGAGCCGCCCAGCCGCCGAGCCGCCCAGCCGCCGAGCCGCCCAGCCGCCGAGCCGCCCTGCAGCCGAGCCGCCCGAGCAGCCCTGTCCGGTGAGCACAGACCCTCTGTCACTGCGTGCTCTTCCCCTACTCCTTGCACTGCTGGTCTACTGCTGTCATGGCTACCCCTAGTGTCCTCACTTTTGACGCTGAGGGTCGGGCCATTGACTTTGAGGTCTGGGTAGATGACCTACAGCTGTTCTTACAGTGCGATAGGGCGGACGGCCTCTCTCTCTTTGACCTCACCTCTGGCGCTTCCCCTGCCCCTGCTGCTGATGCTGACGCCACTGTTCGCTCCCAGTGGGCCACGCGCGATGCTGCTGCACGTCTTGCTGTGCGTCGCCACCTCCCTACCTCCGAGCGTGCGCACTTTAGTCAGTACAAGAGTGCTCAGACCTTGTACGCCGCTGTAGTCGCGCGCTACTCCTCCCCTTCCACTGCTGCACTGAGCCGTCTCATGCTGCCGTACCTCTTCCCTGACCTTGCTTCTTTTCCCACCGTTGCTGACCTCATTACGCACCTCCGCACTAGTGACACTCGCTACCGCGCTGCACTTCCTGCTGACTTCTGCACCGCGAACCCCCCCCCCATGTACATCACTCTGTACTTCCTAGTCACTCGCCTCCCTGACTCCCTTCGAGTAGTCAGGGACCACTTTCTCTCAGTCTGTCCCACCACACTCACTGTAGACCTCCTCGAGAAGGCCCTCCTCGCGATAGAAAAGAGCATAGTCGCTGTAGGAGCCTCTCGAGGTGACCCGCGCACCCCCATCTTTGAGGGGTGCTCTCCCTCCCCCCTGCTGCCCTCTGTTGCCTCTGCTGCTTCGGCCGACCTCCTTGGTCTTGAGTCGGTCGGTGCGGCGTCTGCCCCTAGCGGGAGACGCCGCCCTGGCAAGGGCAAGGGGGGCAAGGGAGCTGGAGGAGCGGGCGGTGGAGGTGGAGGTGGAGGCAGTGGGGGGAGTGGGGGTAGCGGTGGAGGTGGAGGTGGGGGTGGGGGGTTCGGTGGCGGCAGTGGAGGCGGAGGCCGTGGCGGCGGTGGCGGTGGTAGCGGAGGTGGCGGAGGAGGCGGCGGTGGAGGAGGCGGTGGAGGCGGCGGCGGCAGTGGAGGCAGCGGAGGCGGTGGAGGCGGTGGGGGTGGCAGTGGAGCTGGTCGCGGGTCTTTGCAGAGGAGTGGCTCCGGTGGTGGCTCGCGCCAGCAGCAGCAGCGTGGTCGTGCGACCCTGTCCCCTCAGCAACTCCGTGAGTGGTACATTGCACGCCAGCGGGGTGGGGGTTTTGGTCCGTGTACCTACGTCCTGCGCACCGGCGACCGTGCGGGTGAGCAGTGTGGGGGTGCGCACCCCACTCCGCGCTGCTTTGGCCGCCTGACGGACGCATGGCGTCACCAGTTCCCGGAGGCCTCCGAGATCCCTCGCTGGGACGAGCTGTCTAGGGCGGGGGTTGCCATCTTTGATCTGGACTTTGATGCTATTCTCTCTGCCATGTATGCTGTGTCTATTAGTGATGAGGGTGACTGTTACCGGTGTTTCCAGCCCGATCCGGGCATTGAGACTGCTGCTCTAGGTACTGGTGAGGCTGCTGCCCTAGGTGCTTACGACGCTGCTGCTCTAGGTGCTGGTGTGTCTGCGTCCTCAGGTACTGGTGAGTCTGCTCTCTCAGGTACCGCGTCGGCTTCGGCCTCCCTCACCTTCACTCTTGACTCTGGGGCGTCTCGCTCCTTCTTTCGGGACCGCACCACACTCACGCCGCTTAGTCGGCCGGTTGCGGTGTCTCTGGCTGACCCCTCTGGGGGTCCGGTCCTGTCTCGTTTCTCCACAGTCCTCCCGTGTCCGGCGGCTCCCTCTGGCACTCTGTCTGGTCTCTACCTCCCCTCGTTCTCGACGAACCTGGTGAGTGGTGCTGACCTACAGGATGCGGGTGTCCACCAGTTCACTCCTGCACGTCAGCGAGTGACCCACTGTACAGAGGCTGGCACAGGCCGACACCTGGCTACGTTCACCCGTCAGCCGGGGTCGAGCCTGTACACTCTGACCACTGCGTCTCCTCCAGTTGCTGAGTCTGGTAGGGTAGTTACGTCGGGTCAGGTGTTTGCTGCGGCGTCCAGGTCTGGTCCTGAGTCTGCCCCCTGTTCGTGTCGTCTCCTGTCTCACGAGACTCTCCTCTGGCACCACCGCCTTGGCCACCCCTCTCTGCTTCGGCTCAGAGGTATGGCCTCCCGTCTTCTTGTGTCCGGTCTCCCCCGGTCCCTCCCTCCCCTTCCTCAGGGCCCTGGCCCTGCCTGTGTCCCCTGTGTCGAGGGGCGCCAGCGTGCTGCCCCTCACTCCTCCCAGTTTCCTTCGACAGAGGCCCCGTTGCAGACACTTCACATGGACGTGTGGGGCCCAGCCCGCGTCCGTGGACAGGGTCACGAGCGCTACTTCCTGCTCGTTGTTGACGACTACTCGCGTTACACCACAGTCTTCCCCTTGCGCAGCAAGGGTGATGTCACTGAGGTGCTGATCGACTGGATCCGCGCAGCTCGTCTCCAGCTCAGGCAGAGCTTCGGCTCGGACTTTCCTGTTCTGCGTCTGCACTCGGACAGAGGCGGAGAGTTCTCCTCTGGCCTTCTGCGTGCCTACTGTCGTGCACGGGGCATCCGTCAGACCTTCACGCTTCCGGACTCACCGCAGCAAAATGGGATTGCTGAGCGCCGCATTGGCATGGTCATGGACGTCGCTCGTACGTCTATGATGCATGCGGCTGCCCCCCATTTTCTGTGGCCGTTTGCGGTGAGGTACGCGGCGCATCAGATCAACCTCCACCCCAGGGTCTCCAGGCCGGAGACCTCCCCAGCCTTGCTGTGGACGGGGAAGGTTGGCGATGCGTCGGCGTTCCGGGTCTGGGGATCTCGGGCGTTTGTCCGCGACCTGTCTGCGGACAAACTATCCCCTCGTGCTGCTCCTTGCGTCTTCCTGGGGTTCCCCCCTGACGCGCCTGGGTGGCAGTTTTACCACCCCACCTCTCGCCGTGTTCTGTCCTCCCAGGACGTCACGTTTGACGAGTCGGTCCCCTACTACCGCCTC